AAAAAAAAAAAAAAAAAACATGTGAGTCTTCGGGGGGATCCGGATCCCTTCTTAGGGCACACTCACGTGTGGAGACTTACAGGCCAAAGCTGGTTGAGCAATACTCTGGCAGCGTTGGCTACGCAAACCGCGTGACCACGCCAGATCCTCAAAGATCGAGAGTCCAAGTGCTAGCTTCAGCACCAGCAACATGACAGCTGTAAAGATGAAGAGGAGCATGTCTCGTCCAGCAATGTGCGCATCTGTCTCTGTTTTCAATCAGCAGCATACAATAGGGTATGACCAAGCACAGGGAATCCAGCAGATTGACCTTGTGCTGACAACTAGCAGGCTCCACGTGCTGCCGCAAGTCTCTGGGGTGATGACGTGGAAGCCCAAGCTGTGCTGAGACATGCGCAATGTGTTGCATGTTCGGAATCCAAAATCATTATACCCACACAGACAAGCAGGGCAAAATCTACTTCACAGCAAACTGATGGTAACATGCCGCAGACTTATGGAGATCTTCCTGCCAAGGCCCGAGCAGCTCGTGCAGTACATAGTGCCACTTCTCATCAAGGCCACAAAGGACCGGAAAGTGTACTGAACAGCGTTGTAGATTACGATTCACATGTGGACAGTTTCATGCCCATGCTCTTGGTTTCTCATGAATGTAAGGGTCTGGAGTGTTTGCAATACCATGTCCTTGTTGGCTTGGGATCTTGGGGCTCTTGCAGGGGTGATGCATTGTCCAGTGCACGCGGTACTCAAGACGCTACAGCATGCAACAGCAGTTAAAGAACACCCAACCTGTTGGACGATGTTGGACGTATCATTTCTCATCAGGGGAGACGGCTGAATGCAAGTGTTCTCATGCCATAGCTTGATGACTCCTTGTAGAAGAGCAAGCTGCCCGAGGTGAAGGGCTCTCCGGGTTTCACTACTTCACTGGTGTCTGCGACGTGCTATTCATCTACTCAAGCTTTGGGGTCTGCAATGTTTTGCTGGCTGCAGGACACCGTGCCCAACGTGCGCTTCTGCGCTTGCCGAACAATCATGTGGATGTGGTACCTGCCTGTTGCAAGTCATCTATCATGCCCTTCGCCTGTCAGACATTATCGACCTTCATCTGCGGTCACTGGAAGCTTCCCATGGTATGTTTCTGTCAAAACATGAGTGTTCATGCGTAGTGTTTGTTGAGTAGTCAAATGCTGGATTTGGGCGCATATTGAGCGTGGAGCGCACTATGTCATCTGCCCGTCATCTGTTAGCCAATGCTTCAGCTCTTACTTGACCCCAAGCCCATGAAACCCAACAGATCATCGCCAATGATAGTGCATGCTTTGCGCACGGCAGAAGGAACTCTGCTTGTCTTCTCATGCTGGTAAAGTCAGATGTTTGTAGGCATGCATCTAGATATGAAGATGGCTGCCTGTCCGTGTATTCAGTGTCGCTCTCATGCTCAAAGTGTGACAGGTTGCTTTGATTTCAATAGAAGCCAGGGCCCATAGGAGGGCAAATTTGGATGCAGTCTCTTTGACTGTAGCATCCCACCCAAAACCTGTTAGCTACATGGGACTGGGCACCCTAAAACCACCTAAAACCAGGGGCCTGGTTCACGGGGTCCTGCTGGGAGATGATGTTTAAAGTGTTCTTTTAAGGTTAGCAGGATTCTCATGCGAGGGCCCATTTTGTCTGATGTGTCAGTTTCGGAATCTACCATGAAGCTTGAAGTTGTAGTCCTGCAGTGTGTTTCTGGTAGAAGTACTGGCTACACGTAATGCAGTTCTCAGTCTTCTGGGTGTACTTGCCGAGTGCGTTATCTCATGCCTGAAGTCCTGAATGACGAACCCCAAAGCGAAAACCCTCAACCTGAGCGTGAACGCCTAGCCGATCTCGAAATACACCCTCCGAAATGCTGGGTCGGCAGGCCCAATCATTCCCTGAGATTCCCCATGCCCATGCACTTTGAGTTCCCATACCAGAAAGCACGACAGAGCTTCATAGATCCCTAGGAATCTTCGTAGATTGCCTGCCAGGATGGAGCACCACAATTTGGGCAGCCAGACCATCACCTCCACCATCAAGCCGTGTTTGCTTGAGCCGACACCTTTGCCGGATTGGGGTCTTTGGGTTTTTGAAGGTCTGGAGCTCCGAGGTGTAGGGCCCAGGGATTGGGTTTGTGGGCCTGGAGGTTTTGGGCTCAAATTTTGCTTTGGGCTGCTGGGTGTAAAATCTCAGGGCTTAGGGTTCCTCAAAGACAGCCTCAGAGGACTGCATGATGTAGGGTTCTGCGGGATTGCAGCAGGTGGATCGGTACTGGGCAGGAGGATTCGAGCCGAAACTTTTCTGCTTCTCCGTGAGATGACAACTTTTGCGCAAGTGGGAGAAGTCTTGTCTTCCCTAAATTTTCAACAGGATAGCAGATCCACCATTTTTCAATCTTTGTCCACAATAACTAGGGCGGAACGTCATGCAGAATTGGAACGGCTTTTCATCCAAGATCTTACAGACGTCAGTGATTTGGAGTTTGGGCCGCTAGGCTGGAACACGACCCTGACATCGACGTCCAGTACTACGCGCAGCGTGCATTGCTGCTCTGACTTTGCCTCAGCTTCTTGGTTCGCTCACTTGGGATCAAGGTGGCTGCTCCTGTAGAGTGGAACTGCAACCCACAGCTTCAGCCCCAGACCTCTCATCCGGCATGGTCTGTGAAAAAAAGATTGCCTTTGCTGTCGCAGAGCATTGGCAGACCATGCATTTCTACTGTTACTGTGCTTGCACTCTTCTTGGTTTGCAGTTGCCCAAAAGTCAAACGCTAGCCCAGGGGAATCATTGCTTGTCCTAAGACTAGACAAGGCTGAGGGTATCGGGGTATCGTTTTGATCTTGCACAGCCCAATATCACAATCGGCTCCTCAAGTCATGTCGTCTTTTCAAGTTTTTCCGCCCAAACAAGTACGAGATCTTAGAAGGAGCTGAATCGAAACCACCAAAGCAGCATCCAACTGCACACCCTAAGCATGCCTGAATTGTGCCTGAAGAGGTTCTTGCAAACCCTCGTTCTGCAAGGTTCGCTTTGGAAGGTGCTGTGAAGCCAGCGTGTAGGTTGTAAGGGTTATTTCTACCTGCCTGAGGCTAAAAAGAGTCGTTCCAAGTCAGACGCGCCGAGCTTGCACGCTTGTACAACGTTTTTTATTCCTTGTGTTCTAGCATGTGAGGTAAGCTGTATGGGACGGGTCTATGAATATCAACAGGGATCTTCGTGTCAGAGTTTCAGAATGGGCCACATACCCCATACCCTAACAGGAGCACAGGTAACAGGAGACTTTGATCAGGTACTTGAAGCCGCAATTCTGCGATTTCTCTAGTCTAGTTGTCTTTGCAGGAAGGCGCCAAGCAACAGTCGCTTGTCATCTGTGTCAGCGCCCATTTTGCAGAAGTTTCAGTGCACGGTAGGCTGAGGTATCCATGCCTTTTACGATAACAATTTCTACAGCCAATTCAACGAAAACAATTTCTACAACCGGTTCACTGTGTGCTTAGACTAGCATACATGAGCATTGTCGTCTGCTGAGGATATGCTTTGATTCTCTTTCAATTGGTGTTTGATTGGCCCTAAACTTGCATCCGGCTGGTTCGGAGCGCTGGATACACCAAACAGTTTCAATCAATTTGCAAAAGAAGGTCGAGATCATGCAAGGGGAGACTCCGGCATGTCAACATTTTCTGCTCGACGTATACGGGAGAATTTTGCAGACGTCAGGGCAGAAAGCTGCAGTTCCTCCTGGTTGGGAAAAGGTGTTTTTCGAGTAGATATAAGCTTGCCTATAAGTTTGTGTGTTTTACATGCCCGATTTTGGCTTGTTACATGATTGTCAGAAAAACTCCAGATGGCAGTGAGAGTGCTTAGAAGCATCAAGTTTAGGTGAGTGTACAGTATATGGGTTCGGTGTCTATCGGGGATACCAGAAGTCCAATCCAACCTCATCTCACAACTCCCACAGTTTCCCCCAGATCATCCCCTTTTTTTGGCATTGTATAGAGACCAGTAGAATAAGGCATCCCTTCCTGCACTCGCTGCCAACATCCAGTAAGATCAGCATCTGCTCACCTAGCTTGCCAGGATTGCGAGGTGTTCTGGGCTGGAGATCCGCAAGTATTCTCCGATGTCACAGCTGACCACGGTGGTGAGCGCTTTTCGGTATAGGCTCGGGTTCGGAAAAAGCGATCTAAATGTAGACACTTGCATTTCTGATTGGACTCCCTTTTGCAATGATTTCAATAGCGCATTGTAGTAGTTTACGAAGGTTTCAGGCTCACCTTTCCGAATTGCAGATGACTGGCCAACTGATAGCTTGAGGTTGCAAGCTAGAAGTTCTTCATGCCACGACCCCCTTTTCCAGACAAACGGAATACTTTTTCCTGGGTAGCGCAGAATGTTGCGCAAAAGTACTTCCACATCACAGCCACCACCACCGATGGCTGGCATTCCGGAAGCCTGTGGCTGCAAACAGCTTAGCAGGCAGAGGAACAGCATCATTCCGAGTGTAGCACATAGCAGACCCCTTCCCACGGCATGTCGAGCTCTTCTGAATTTCTCAGAAGTCTGGTCAACATTCCTTTCCAAAGGGCAGTGGCTGGGGGTATCTCCGGATTTTGCAGACTCCGTCCTGCCGAATGTCCGCAGGACGCGCATCTAGGATAAGGCTAGAAATGAGAAGCCTTGGGGAAGCGCTGTTCAGATATCTTGTCGGTTAAATCGCAAACGGCACAGGGCCAAAGTGGACCGTACCCTACATGCAGAGTTGAAACCTTTTTGTTATGTCTTGATGTAGATCAGTACGCGCTTTGGTTGTGGCCACTGCAAGGATGAAAGACTTGTCTGATGTGGCGCAAGGTTTACACAAAGAGTGATGCCTTGACGTTTCCTGAGTCTCAGATCCAATTCACACGCACCCTCCGAACTGCACTGGAGCGGCGAGTGCATGCGGGAGCGATTGAACAAAGTAAGGGCAGAGTGGTGTTTGGATATTCTGCTTAGGATCCCTCTATTGGTCCTCAAGAGCAGTTTGTTGCCGGCGCTTGTCGGCAGAAAATGCTACCAGGTAGCTTCCAGGCCTGCGTCATTCTTGTCGCAGAGTGCAACTTGAACCTACCACAAAAACACGAGCAAGGCAGAACTTACACCTTCTTTTCCATCCGTATGTTGTAGGTGTAGTCGTTTACTTCCTGTGCTGTCTATAGATGGCTGCATCAGCGCCCAACAAAAAGGAAGTGGAATCCAGTGGGCCAGACTTCAGGCTTGTTTGCTTTTGCGTCCTCCGTCCTCGCAGATACGATAGATGTTAGCTGAGCTGTGCTTTCTGCAGAGGCCTTTCATGAGTGAGAGCTGATAGCATTCTGGATTGGTGAGACTCTGTACACAGCATGTGGCCATGCTAGACTTGAGCTTGGAGGGTTGACCAGGGACACTGGACAAATTCACCTGAAGCTTGAGCTTGGCTGAGCTTCGCCGCAGCAAGGTCTCATTCACACATGGCACACCATTAAACCACTGCCCAATGCGGCCCAGCGGACAGCCTCAATCTGCCACTTTTAAAAGTGTTTTCTGGAACAGAAGCCCTTGACTTGTAAATGGCATGCATTCGCAGCAAAGCTGCCAAGGAATTTTTGCATTGGAGCTCGCAGCAATAACGCTACCCATAGGAGATTGTGTCCACGTTTTAAAATGTTTTGAAGTTCGCTCGGGCACCCCTCCCTGCCAAGCAAGGTTTTTACCCTGCGATGTAGCCAGGGATGCCGCCATGGTGGTGGTCTGCAGCTCCATCCTTGCCGTCCTCGAAGGGGACAGCTGAACTTAAATGACCCTCCTACTTCCCGCCCCACAAAGCCTAGAGAATGAAAAGCCGTGAACTTCACTTGGCGCGGGTTCTAACTTTTGTGTCCTCAGCAATGGGCGTCTCCCCAACTCTTTATTGGAATGGCGTATCCCCATTTCAGCAACCCATAGAACATGTGACACATTCAAGCTGCAGGCGAGCCTAAAGCATTGAAAGCTGTGT